GCCTCTGGAGAGGACGGGGGAGAGCCCCCCTGGGGGAGAAGCCGAGCCTCGAGGGGCAGATGCTCCGGCCACGGGCCCTCGGACCGGCTGGCAAGACGCTTCCCACGGAGGGTGACCCTCAGCACGTCCTGGAGACTCGCCAGAGGGTCAAGGAATGGTTTGCCCTTGCTGCCCCCCCCGCAGTGAGAGTCTGTGACTCGGTCGGGATTTGAACCCAGGTCCCCTGAGTCCTAGTCGTCCTTCTTTCCCCACACACCACTTAGGATTGACCCATGATTTTCTCACCTTGGCTCTCCTCTCTCCCCACTGCTTTATCTGCACAACAACCTTGCAAGGTAGATTTGACCGAGGGGCGGAGATAAAGCCCACCAAGCCCATGTTCAGCCAGAGTTTCCTGGCAGGCGAGGAATCTGGCCCTGGAAAGATCACGCCCCAAACTCCAGTCTGAAATGACCCCTCTCTCTAGGTCAACCCAAACTGCATGTGTCGTGCATGTGCGTGTGTGTCCCTGCACACTTTTCACGCCAACCCCCCCCATTTGGAATTTGCTTGACGTCAACATGTCTCTCGGGTCCTTAGTTCGGATTTCGCACGTCCCATTTTTAACACTCCAACCCTTACGCCTCACTGCCTTTTGGGTCTGCAGGAATGATTTCTACTTGTCCTTTAAGCTGAAAGGCAAAGGAGGCCGAGAGACCTGCTCTCTGGGCCTCTTGAGCCAGAGGTCTGGTCTTGGAGAGGGTCTCAAAGGGTCATCTAGTCCAACCCGAGGCTGCAACCTAGAATCGTAGGTGGTGCTCAGCACCGGCTAGAACAGAGCCTTCCATCCTAAGCAACCCACAACTCATATCTGAGTAGGGCGGCCGACAGAATGAAAAACAGGATCGCTCCAGGTTTTCCGTTTCCCCTCGGGACAGTGTTTCAATTGAGAACTTAGTTCTCAAACTTAGTTTGAGGATGAGCAAAATTCTCTCCCTCCCCCTTCATCCCCCAGTGAAGAAATGGGGTTACTATGTTGGGGTTTGAATCGGAATCACACCCAAGAGGTCTGTCTCTCCTTTCTCTGGTGACTCCCAATGTCATGGGGGCGGTGAATCCATTCCAGGTTTTTGTCTCATCTTTAAAGGGAGTCTCAATAGGGTGGAGCCTGTTGGAGGTTGGGGACACCGTTCAGCATTTACTAGACAGCTCTTGTAAGGTTCAGTCCAAAACCCGGAGTGGATTTGTCACCTCCTTTGACCTCTCGTAAGAGCAAACAGCTGCCCCCAAGCCCTAAAATATTAGCTTTTATGATTTTTGTTGTGGCCTTGCTGTTAGGACCGGTGTGAAAACTGCCTCAGGTGGCAATACTGATGGGGAGGGCAGCC